ATCGTTCTCCAGTGTTTCTCAAGAATCTTCGCAGCACATGCTTTTGTAAGAATGTCCGACGCGTTCTCCAATGTTGGAACTCGACAACACTGGAGCCTCTTTGAACAGCGTCTTGCAGCCACAAAAATCTTGTTTGAACATGCCTCTGTTTTCCCAGCCCTAGCCGGCTGGAAAATCAACGAGCACTATTGCTTTCCCTTTCCACAACCAAGTCCATTTTCAATCCTAAATGTTCAAGTAACGACTTCAATCCAAGCCCATGCACTGCTCAGTGGCGCAATGTTTCTGCACCATTCAGAAACCGACACATGCCTGCAAATTGCTTGTTGCCTTGATTGCGTGAATGCCCATTCACTGAACCATGCCTGTCGCCTTCCGACTGACACGATCGCCAGCGTAGTCAACTGAAATCCTCAATGCGCTGGGAGGTCTTTTTCATCGAAAACTCTGCCATGTCCGCACTCTCTATTCGGTCTATCCTGCGCCAAAATTTTGCAGTGTGTTCAGAGACTTGCTGTCGCGACTGATGCCACAAGCGCGCAACATCAGCTCAACGTGCCTTCTGTCTGTCTCAACGCAAACAAACTGTCTGTGCGCCCCAAGCTAACAACCCCGTTGAAGATCTTTGCCTCGCTCTTGCACCCCGCAAAACCCAGTCTATGAAAGTGACCCGCGCTGTATTTGGATTTCATCAATTCGTTCATGAAATATTTTGGTCTAAGCATCTCCGTGAACTGCTCCGACCACCAACAACACATGTTTGTGACCGACAACCCCGGATTGATTCTTGCACTTGGAAATCTCGATCGCGCTACATGTCCTCGCCGCGAATCATCTGGCTCCTCCTCACGCTTCCGTTTCAAAACTGTAGTCGTCCAGATTCGCTTTGTCGACACGAACGAAGGCTTCGACGAAGGCTCCTCCCCACCCTCAACACCATGCTTATATGCCTCCAGCTGCAACTCTGCCAGAAACATCCTCTGCTACTTCTCCTTGCGCACGAAGGCTGGCCTTTATAGGAACATCTGCGCCTGAAGCTCTGTTCTCCGCTGGAAGCACGCGGCTTCTCGACTCCATGTGGTCCTTCACTCGCCTGAAATACCCTGAGGATCCGATATTGAAAAAAATCAGTCTTACGATTGGTCCCAACATTTTTCAATAATATTGAAATTGGTCAACTTGGAAGCATCTGTCCGAAGCGCGCTTCCACCAGCTTCTGCTTCCAATCGCGCTTGGGCCTTCCGCTGACCTCTTCAGCAATCTTCAGCATGAACTTCTCTCCAAACTGCATGCGTTGCTTCTTCCACCAGGCTCCCCACCCAGCTATCACAACAAAACTTGCCATCTCTGCCTTCGCAAAATGCGCGACAACTGGCAGCTAAGCTTTAACTCCAGCGAAAATCAAAGGCTTCGCATCTGGCCCTTGATCTGTTTCACTGCGTTCTCTGCATGGACATTGACATATGATCGCATGTTCATGGTCAAATAGTGAATCTATTGACAGCTGTTGACTTGACAAAATTCCCAAGGCTCCCGGCACCGGCAATCTGTACCGCCACAGCTTTCCACCATCTAATCCCACACCAAAAAGGGGCGAGCTGCAAATCGTTGGCGCTTCACTGGCAACGCTGTTGCTGCTATGCGTCCAGTCCTCGAAAACTTCATCGCAAAAATGGGCCCGAACCACCTTCACTGCTCACGTAAAAATGACACTGTAAACGACAGGGCCGCCCTTTGCTTCTTCAAGCTTTTGGCACCTGTGAGTCCGATGCTTTTGAACCGACGCCACGCCCCGCAGCTCAGCAACACAAGCTTCGCACCACGCCCTGTAAACAGCATGGCCTTCAAGCTCATGATCTTCACGCTGCTTCTTGTCGGCTCCTCAACTTTCAAAAGCATGCTGAACTCTGGAGCTGGTTCAAGCTCCTCGCCAACAATGTCCTCTGCGTCTAATCTAATCCAGCCATCAACTGCCTGGATAAGAACCATCACCCTCTTTCAGCAAAGGTTTCCCACCCGCGCAACATTCTTCACTGTTCGGTCTTACAGCTGTCCCGCCTGCCGGGCCCGACAAAGGAATGCCCAAAAACCTTCTCGTTGTCCATCTGAAGATCTTACTGGACATTCCCAACTCAGTCTTCTCGATTGGCCCCGCAACTGCCTCGCCAAGCCTCTGGAGGCTGTTGCAAAGCTGGCCTTCACGATGGATTGCAAGCTCAGCGCCATCGCCATACCCATCATACCCCGTCATATCTATACTTTCCTGGGTTCTTGCACCAGCTTGCCACACTTCGGAAGAAGAACGCGACCCGCGTCCCACAGAATGCAATCATGAGACTTGAGGCGATGGAGGTGGACGAAAGGCAGAAGTTGGAAGATTCTGAGCTGGAGCAAGCAGCCAGCAGCAGCAGCAAACCAGCAAGGCAGCGCAAGCAAAGCAAAGGTAGCGCCAGCACCAGCACCAGCAAACGAGCAGCAGCAGCGGCGGCAGCGGCGGCAGTGCCAGCAGCAGCAGCAGCAGCAGCTACAGCAAAGCAGCAGCTGCAGCGCAGCAAAGCAGAAAGCAGCAGTAGCAGCAGCAGTGACAACAGTGGCAGCGGCAGCGGCTGCAACAGCAGCAGCAGCGGCGGCGGCAGCAAAAAACCACTTAAGCTCACACAAGTTTGGCTGGCCTCCATAACCCTAGGTTTTCGTTCAGTTTCCGGGGGTTGCACAGACGAAATTGAAAGAGGGTGGAGCCCCTCTGGAAGCAATGCGCAACCACCCCAGCAGCAGCCTTCAGGGCTCAAGCAACAGCAGAAACCAGCAGGAAGTAGCAACAGCAACAGCAGCAACAGCCAAACAGCAGCAGCAACCAGCAGGATCATCAGCAGCAGCAGCAGCAGGAGCAGCAGCAACACCAGCAGCAGCAGCAACAACCAGCAGCAGCAGCAGCAGCAAGCAGTGGCAGTAGTAGAAGCAGCAGCAGCAACAGCAGCAGCAGCAACCAGCTGCAACGAACAGCAGCAGTAGCAACAACAACAACAACAACAGCGGCAGCAGCAGCAGCAAACAGCGTCAACGAGCAGCAGCAATAGCAGCAACCAGCACCAGCGACAGCAGCCAGCAACAAGCAACACAGCAGCAAGCAGTACAGGAAGGAGCGCGCAGTACAGCAAGCAGCAACAAGCAGCAGCAGCCAGCAATAGACCGCAGATGGCAATAAACCACAGTTGATAAGCCAGATCACTCCCAAATTCTCAGCGGCGCAGGGTGGAGTTGAAATCAGGCGCGGGAAGAGTTCACCACCCCCAATATCATATTGCTAAAGTAAAGACAACTCAGGTAGCCGAAGCTACCTTTCGTGACTTGCCAAGCTCCGCTTCCGAATGGCCTGTGAACTTGAGCCACTGTTGCAGTCACATGCCTTGCGCAGCCTTTTCATCCTCACTAGTCCATATCGAGGAATTGAGCCACCGTCTCCACCAACAAACTTTCTCAACTAAACCAACTTCTTTCTGCTGCAATAAGTCTGCTGGAATCACTGTTGCGGCTGCTCCACTGTCATAGTTGATGCGAGCCCAATCACATCACCCCTCGAATCTGCAACAATGTAAGGTGGTTTGTCATCAGCTGTGAAACTGTTCAAATCCAACATGCCCAGCTCTTTTCTGCACGGCGCTCCTCACCGGCATTTGCACTGACAGTTGTTCTGCTTGCCTTCCCCAGACTTACCATCGGACTTGCCCTTGCCAGCGCCATTGAATTTCGCTTTCCCTTTTCATCCTTTCAACTTGCCAGCCTTGTATGGGCAATCTTCCCCATAAGGGCCATAGCCTTTGCAAACCCAGAGCGTCACGTTGGACTTGCGGTCTTGGGCTTTTCCATCACCTTTTCCAGGAGCTCGACATTGCGACTTTCGATGACCTGGCTTGCCACTATTGTAGCAAACCGCCTGAGCTCCTCCTTGTCCTCCTCCTCCTCCTCCTCCTCCTTTGCCTTTGCTCTTGCCCTTCGACATTTATCACACTGATGTCCATGGAACTTGGTTCTTTCTTCGAACTCTATTTGCTACCACTCTGCTCACAACGTCTGAGGTAGAGACTGTGTTTGTTTAAAGCATAGCTCGGCAGCTTGTCAAACAGGTCACCCAAAGTTGGGTAGCCCAGCTCTAACTCCAAACATCACGGCCTCAAACCCAACATGTACCATGATGCCATTAGACTGAAGACTTGATTGGGTTCCCATCACGATCTGTAAACACCTCGTGCTGCCGCTTGAGGGAAAGCCACTGTTCCAAGGCACCACCCAACTCACCAACTGATTTGCAATGAGGTGGATTTTGAACTAGGCCAAGGCGGCCAAGGATTGCAACTCTTCTCATAGACGGTGTGGGATCATACTCTGCACGCAGCCTCCTCCAAGCCTCGAGACATCTCGAGACCATGGGGACCAGAATTGCGAACAAGAGAGCGAGCGAGAGAGAGAGAGAGCGCGCGAGAGAGAGAGAGAGATCCACCAATCATTGTCTTGAGTCTTGATCCCATCGATCTTGTCAGCTGGACTCTCAGCGGACCTCCTACCTGCGGAACCAACTTTCTTCTCACAAACAGTCAAGCCAAACCTGAGAACCAAACTTAACTCTGAGAAACGTGAGCTGTTTTCCTATCAAAAAGGCTCTCTCTCTCTCTCTGTCTCTCTCTTCTAATCTAAGGCGATTGCCCTCTCCTCCTCCGCAGTCCTGGCCCTTTCCTCCGCGGACCGAACTTGATTTGACAGGGCCTGAATCTGAGCCTGCTGTTGTCCAAGCATCGTTTGTTGTTGTGCAAGCTGTGGTTGAATTCTCCTCAGCTCATCTTTCATTGCTAGATCTAGAGTTCCCATAGCAAATGCAGAAGCACAGCGCCAAAACAACTCAATGTAACCACAGCAATGAGTGCTCAAGGTTGTGTCCTGATGCGCGCTTGCCCTTCGAAGCTGCTCTGCTCCGAATCGACGATCGACTCGCCACCAAGAAAAAACTAATGTCCCTCCGGCGCACTCATTTCCTCGGGCCGCATTCTAGCAGGGTACATGTACATGATGAGGTTAGTGCAAGAAAATGCAATTACAGTAAATGTAAATATTTGAATGGGAAGGGCTCGAGAACCGGCATTGAGGTCATCTTGACTGCATGAATGCCCGTGCACTGTGCAGTGCGCAAACACGGAGCTTCATTTTGTGGCCTTGGATCAGGAATCAACTTGGATGGCGCTGGATGCACGATGGGTTGCCAACGTTTTTGCAAAATATTACTCGAACACCCACCAATCAGTTTTTCAAGTTCAGAAGTCTTGAGAAGTTGGATAATTCCCACCAGTAATGGCAGCCAAGATTTAAAGAGCCGCCACGGCGGCCAACTTTCCATGCATGCGAGTCCAAGGGCTGGAGCACAGATCATGGGAAACGCAAAAATGAGAACCGCTCTTGTCTTTCAGCACCGAATCGCATGATTTGCCCTGCTGCCATCAGCTGCTTGCCTAACAATGTGCAACTATTACTCCCTCAAGATCCCTCAAGGCAAACCTGTGACGGGATCGGACGATTGAATCCACACACAAAGAATTTCATAGCCAGCGGCTGGAATTCAAAGGAATGCAAAGACCTTCCGCTCAAACATGGGTAAACATGAAATCGTTTGCTCCCACATGCCGATTGAACTCGCAATTGGTCACTAGCATAGATGCCCAGGTCTGGGCAAGGGCCGCCAAAATGTTCGCATCGAATCGAGCCTGAAGAGCCTCACACCACTTCGTATCACAACCAAGAGCTGATGTAAAACATCTATGCAATGCACCCTCTGAATCCTAAGGTGAAATATTGTGCTGAATGCTCTGGTGAGGTGATGGTGAATGTTCAAGATCAAAAGAACCAATAGAACCATGAGGCTCCTGCTGAGGAGGACAACCCCCGAAGGTAAAAAGTGAAGGCTTGAAACTCTTGAAGGGCACGGGCATCGTGCAGCGTGGAACAAGGACAGCATGGTGTACTGGGTTCTTCCCAAATGAGCCCTTCTGGCTTCAAGCAGTGGTCATCTCTCCGAAGAGGTCGCCCTCTAAAACTTGGCATATGTCGCCTGCGCACTGGGAGTCAGCCCTGGGGTCAACGGGACCCTTCAGAGCGGATGATGTGTGCCAGCAGTTCTGTACTTGTAGGCCACCCAGTGTCACATCAAACATCCGAGTTGACATTCTACATATATACAAACCAAATGTAGATGGGGATCACTATGGCACCTACTGAAGCTTATCTATGTAAATACTCATGACGCATGTGCAATTGCCAATTGATCTTGAAGGAATGAACTCTTCAGGCTGGGGAGCTTGCCTGTCTCGTTGCCCCTTGGCTTCCCCATGTGCGTCTTATATTCAGACACGGTTGGCAACATTCATGCTGCCCCGTCGCAGTCTTGAACCTTGACCAGCTCCGTTGTCAACAAACGTATTGGCAAACCCAGTGTCGGGTGATCCTGTCATTTCAGACTTGACACACTCCTTAACAATGCAGCATTAATACAACTTTGGAGGAATGCTCCCTACCACTCTCCGCCTTGCATTGCAAGGCTGATGGCCAGTTCAATGGTCCATTCAAGTCCCAACCAATTCATTTCAAGGATTCGTGCAGGAAACTACCTTTCAAGGCAACCTGGACTGCGAAGTCACCTCCTGTCTCCAAGGAAAGGCAAACATTTTCCGACCTGTACGGCATAGGAAGAACATCAAGCAAAGAAGACAAAGGATACCCATTTTCTTAAAGGGGGGTAGGCCGGTAGAAGAGGGAGGTAGTAGCTAAAGGTAGCTAGTAGGGAGGTAGTCGCTAGTAACTAGTACCTTACTTAAGCTATTAGTATGGACGCAGGATAGCTCACGGGCCTTCAAGGAAGCTCACCCCGCCTGGGGGCGGGGGTAGCTTCCTTGAAGAAGCGCTCGAACTAATGATTTGGTTTCTAGATTATTTAGGGAAACTTAACTTTTGCAGACTTGAGTGACCTCGCGCTGTGCCATTGCTATTTCGAGCAGCACCCACATCTGCTTCGACGTTTCACGTCAGGAAAGGGACCCCAAGACACCACTGACAGATTCTCCAGCGACCCTTAAAGTCTTTATCCTCTGAGTGGTGGAATCAGGTAAGTAGGTAAGCAAGACTTTGCTGTGTTGAGCATGATCATTCAATTGGAAACTCCAAGAATTCAGCAGTTGCTTCTCGATCAAATGTGTCATACAGAATTACATCTCATCAAATCCCACCCGTTTCTTGACAACGCCACGCAGAAGAAACCTGCTGGACAAGATGGTCGGCCACGAAGGCGGAAACCAGCAAGGCTCTTCTACAAAAATGGCCACCAGAATCTGCCAACCAAAGGGCCAATCGAACCATTAGATTCTAGGTCTGAATTGGCTAGCTGGACGGTTCTGGCATCATGCGAAACAAGAATTTGTTTTACAGTATTGTATTTTTCAAACCGTCCCGCTGGGAAAATCGCTTGTGCTCTCCGCATCATGGCCAGCAAATGCTCCTGCAAAGGCTGCAGGTGCTTCAAACGTCTCTTTGCTTGGGACAAATAAGCCTTGTTGGTGTCAGTGGAATGGAACATAAGCCTTGTTGGTTGTCCTGCTGATCCTTGGGCGGCGCGGACCCCGGCATAAGCACTGTTTTCGGTGTCGCGGATGTCTGTTGCCATTGACACTTCCTAAGCGGATGTCGCGAGATGTCAACAAATTGTGGGCGGCGAATCTTCTTGTGCTTTCTGTCAGGAAGTTATGACTGCGAGTAGAACTAAAAAAAGGATCCCAAGTGGCAAACCTATATAAAAACATAATAAAGCATATAAGTGAATTGCAAATGCCAGGAATGGATTGAGCCTACAATACCCACATTGGCCATGCCTAACTGTGATCGATCGAACATGCAAAACTTCGTGTCCAGCTGAAGACACACGCACCACTACTCTCATCTGTGCGGAGGCGGCCTCAGCATGCAACAGCAACCCTAGCGTCCTTGCTCCGTTCGTAGCGATGCCAGGAGCCCCTAGTAGCTTCTTGTTACTAGTAGTATGGCCAGGAGCCCCTAGTAGCGTCCTTGCTCCTAGTGTCTAAATAAAAACATCACCCAATTGAACACAATTCAAATAATCATATCGCGAACAAAAAGTCGGAGGACAAGGGTGTGCACGAACTGGAGCAATCCAGTGCAGGAAATAAATGGATTCAAACAGTGACAAGTTGCGTGGTGGTCAGAACTGTACTTGCTGCACAACTGTTCCAGGTCTGACCAGAAAACACCGTACCTTAGATGCTGGAAACAATTGTAGATATTTTTGAATGAGCAAGCAAGTTGCCATATTTATTCTCGACTCTTGCAAAAATCAGAGTGACAATTGTCACCAATTGCAGCGATGGTCCCTAACCACTGAGCCCCCCGATGACAGCACCATGGACAAAAGCAAACACTAACACTTCGCCTCAGTAACTGCAAATTTTGCTGAGCCACTCCTTCATTCTTTGTCCAAACCGTTCTTTGAGTTTGGGAGTGCTGGATGCAAATCCCACCAGCCGCTCGGCATGTTCTTTCAACTGCCCCAGCTTCTGCACCTCAGCTCACAAAGAACCTTTGCCTCGCACACAGGGTGCCCTCAAATCGATTTATCCAAATTTCAGTACAAGTATGGACAGGTCTTCTCGTGACATGCATTAGTTTTTGCTGACCTCGGACTGCAAATGAATTAGCAGCTTCGCCTTGATCGCCTTGCGCTAACTTGAGTTTGGACATACTTGCACATGGAGCTCGTCTGTGTGCCTTCCTGTGAATTTCAGCCCGCCAATTTAAGCTGCAAGCTGTTCCGTCCATGTTGGCCCAAAAGACGTAGCCTCAGTGACACCGACAAACAGAAAATCCCAATGCCTCAAATACATTCCCTTTTCCATCCCCAATATTACATTATAATGCATATTGGCATATATATTATAGCTACCCCCCTGAAATGTCTACCTTTTTGGTTTGCTAGAATGGTTTTGAGTCAAGTGATTTGAATGCAAGAATCTAAGCAGAACGGCTGACCAATGCACACAGATAAGGGCAAAATATTTCCAAGGTTGGGAAATTCATTAGAGAACGAAGAGGCATTTCAATTCATATTGTTAGTTGCATCTAATGCAATTCCACACATAGGAATTGATGGATATAGTCGTTTACATTGGATTTGAATAATTCAAAGTGTGAATTTCATGGTGTACAAGTGTGAAGACACCACAATGTACAGAACTAATTGTGCACATGGCAATGAACAATATTGTATATGAGCACTCTAATTCATACTGTCAGTTGTACCCAGTGCAATGACAGTTAATGAATACACCTGATTATCTGAGTTGTTAGTTTGTCTTTTGAACTGCGACATTACATTTAACCAACTCAAATTAGGAATTGCATATTGTACATTTGTGACAGTCACACAATCAAATGTCATTTTACATTTGCAACAGCAATTGGTGAGATCACATGTTTATTTTTCAACATTGCAACTCACACTGTCTGCAAACATGAAAATCTGTGAATATAACTGACGATGTGAGTTGTAAGCCTCATCAATTCACACTATAACATTGGGATTGCACAACCAGAAAATTGACCACAGGGTAACACATAGATTCATAGAACTATTTGTGTGCATGACAATTGATACTATCATATGTTAAGATTGCAACTGCAACTCATATTGTCAAGTTGCCAAGTGTTTACAATGCACGTGTGCATATGAGATTTGATGAACACAATTGATACTGTAATGTACATTGTTATTGTTAGCCTTCTCATACCTTCAGTCGTAATACAAGTGTGGAAGGGTGAGAACTGATGAATGCAACTCTCACATTGAAGTTGAAAAACTCAATACATGCATGATTATTTGCCAACTGCGACAATCATAATCACAAATAGACATTACAATTGACAGGCTAACTTGTGTTTACGACAAAGTACAATATTATATACCATTGCTGCGACTCACACT